TATTCATCAACTATATATTCATGATATTCTATTCCTCAATATTCTGGAAATTGGAATCATGAAACATTCATCACCTGTATATTCATGAAATATTCATTATATTCTATTCCTCAATTTTCTTGAAATCTTCTCCCAAGTTTAGCTTCATATTTCTTGAAATAATCATCAACTGCATATTCATTTAATATTCATCACCTTTATGTTCATGAAATATTACTTAATGAAGAATAAATAAAAATGAACTATTCATGAATATGACTGAAATACAAATCAGATTCTTGAAATATTCATCAACCTGCATGACCATGTTTCACCTTTCAGAAATAAAGTATAAAATATTAAAGGCAGGGTCTGATCTTTAGGGGGTGACAAAATTACAATCAACATGTATAATTGACCTACCAATCTATTCCTTACGATATCAAATACAATATCTCCGAAGAGATTCACAATATGTTATAAATTGGTAAAGTTATTAATGATTCAAAGTGCAAAAATGAGTGAAAATTTTTTAAATGCTCCCAAATAATAAGAATGGTAACCATTCTTATAGGAAAATAATACATTATTGTAAAAATCTTTAGTTTTACTGGAATAAAGTATGCACTTTTATGATTTTTAGAAAACAGACATGACAAGGAATGACATGAGCCAAAAATATTCTTAAATTGAAACAATGTTTAGCCTGCTTGCTATATCTGATTCTCTCCTTAAAATATGCCTGAGATTTTAAATATGTCACCAATTTATTTATAATATACATCTGCAAAGGCATCATGGGAAACATTGAACACAACCAAGGTGGTAGCATAAATGGGGACAGGGGGACAGATGAGCATTTATCGAATGACTTAGATGGTTGTTTGCCAGAAAATGCCTCAATCTCCGAGAACAAGTTAAATATTTTTAAACTTTTTATTTCTTTTGAACTCAAGCATAAGTAATTAACTTAAAGAGGTTGACTTAAACTAGTTCCTTTATTCCCTCTGGCCTTTTGACCATGAGTCAGGCAGATAGCGAAAATATTTCAAATCACAATTATGCCTGTTCAAATATTTAGAAAAAAATCATTGTTATTTACCTTACCAATTTTAGTGAAATAAGTTCCAGTCTATTGAAATTACCGAAAAGCCTGTTGAAAACATTTATTGAAACCCCTGCATGACCATGTTTCACCTTTCAGAAATAAAGTATAAAAATACCTGTGATTTTAAATATGTCTCCAATTTATTTATAATATAGGTCTGCTAGAACCATTAGAAACCTAGAGAAAAATAAAGGATCTGGAGACCAAGATGGGTGAAGTTATAAGAGTAATGCATCTTGATGAAAATGACATTGCTTATGACGTAATTAAACACCTTCCCACTAATGATGCATGTTGTGTAACAAAAGAAATTGGTATGACATTTCTTTACTGATGAGGAGCTAATGCTACTCATTTTTGTAATTTGACAATACATCTTTGACCATTTTGACACTTATGTATTCATTAGTATTATGTATTCACGTATGTATTCGTTAGTTTTATAATATAAAGCCATTAAATTGTTTATCTTTGCATGAATAACTCAGTAAGAAGAAATGAGGTAAGTTTTTGTCATTATTTTTTCTTCATTGTTTATTCTTAACAATTTCATTAAGATTTATTCCTCATTATTCTTAAGAAATTCCTGAATGTTTATTCATCGTTATTCTTGAGAATTCATCAATCGTGTGGAAGTATGAAAATTGAGGAATAATTGATGAATATTTAAGAATTTGTGTTCAAGCATATGCTTGAATAGTTCATGAATTTGCTTGAATTTGAAGAATAAAGAAGAATATTTATTCATGTTTATTCATCAAAAATATCATGAATGTTTATTCTTGTTTATTCTTAAAGATTCATAAAGATTTCTTCTTTATTCTTAACAAATTCCTTATAGTCAGGATTTCAATTCATCTGTATTCTTGAATAATTCATAGAAAGTGTGCAAGTTATCATATGATGAAAATTGAAGAATAAATTATGAACATAGGATTGTGAAGAATAATGAAGAATGTCCAAATATTATTCAAGCAATAGGCTTGAATAATTCATGAATTTGCTTAATAGAAATTTGAAGAATAAAGAAGAATATTTATTCATGTTCATTTGTCAAAAAATCATGAATGTTTATTCTTAAATATTCATAAAAAAATTGACCTTTATTCTTAATAAAAATCCTGATTATCATGGATTTCTTCATTTTTATTCTTGAATAATTCATGGAAAGTGTGCAAGTTATCATACGATGAAAATTGAAGAATAAATGATGAACATAGGATTGTGAAGAATAATGAAGAATGTCCAAATATTATTCAAGCATAGGCTTGAATATTTCATGAATTTGCTTAATAGAAATTTGAAGAATAAAGAAGAATATTTATTTAAATATTCATAAAAAATTGACCTTTATTCTTAAGAAATCCCTGATAATCAGGATTTTTATTCATTTTTATTCTTGAATAATTCATGGAAAGTGTGCAAGTTATCATATTGTGACAGGTGAGGTGTAACACCCTGTATGGACAAGGATAGTTACGTGGTTCATGAGACAACCTGTACTTTTACACATATGCATTTAAGTGAACCATGCTATTTTTAGAACCCCACTTACTGGGTTAGATTTTCCATTCAGTAAAGGATAATAACATGTAAACCTTATTTTTGATTCTTATATTTTGTAAGTTTGTGGCTGGTTTTATAACCCTGCATTAGCAGTGGTTTCTATTTTTCAAACTGTCCTCAGTCCACTGGCTGAGCTTCAACTGGAAACACCTCTGTGTATAGGTAAATACAATTTTGCATTTTCCCAATTTGTTCAGTCAAGTTGTACTTTTTACCAGTTAATCCTATACTATCATTATAGAAGAATGTCATTTTCTTTTAATATCATATTTTCTGGTAAGGTAATATTTCATATCCCTAGACTACAATCTTTTGTAAACCAGTTTTGTAAATTAGAATACGGGTCACGCCCAATTTTGCAATGCTTATATGGCTTACTTTTACAACTGGAAATAATGTACACATTTTATAATTATGTCCTGTTAATTGCAGACACACGGTTAAGTACTCATGTACACTTCACTCAGCCAGGGTCTCACTATACTTCAAAGTCCTAAGGACTATTTGTAAGTTTATATAATTTTTGGTGTTAGCCATTTTGTATTTTAAGGTGCAGCCATTTTGTAAAATGATTTTATATTTTCACCAGAGCTCGAATACACGTAATGTTATGTATGTCACACTTTAATGGTTCTTAATTATTATGTTGTATTGGTGAATATTATTAATTCTTTCATGTTTGTTCATTTGACAACATGGTACATTGCTGCACTTCTGTTACTTCTAATTTTAGTACTGGAGATTGGATGTTTTCTGACATCGAGGTTCCACTAGTCTCCATTGTTAGTCTCCATTAGACTAGTCATTAGGGTATGCATATCTCTTAAAATATATTATTGTATTATTTATGTAAAGTATATGAAACTGTGTGTTTGGTTTAGTCTAAGGGAATCACATATGAAATGTTATAATATTCGTACATTTACCTTGTATTTTATGGTCTCGACATTACGAAATATTGGTTCCTATTTTAAATGCATATTATTTTGTATAATTGCAGACTTCTTCTTCTTGTTGCCCGTTTACATCCTGTGATACTTGATGTTACAACTAAGACTGTAAAAGAATAAAGATATCATATGACTGAACTTGTGTGTAGTGTAGTCTTTATTGCCATTACCCACGTGCCCCCCCCCCCCATTCGCCCAGCTCACAATATGATAAAAATTGAAGAATAAATGATAAACATAGAAGGATTGTGATGAAGAATGTCCAAATTGATGTTCTAGCATATGCTTGAATAATTCATAAATTTGCTTACAAGAATGTGAAGAATAAAAAGGAATATTAATTCATGTTTACACTTCAAAAAATTCCTTGATATTTCTTTCTTTTTTTGTTTTTGTTTATTCTTCACAAGTCCTTGAAAGTCTATTCATGAATTTTCCAGTAATTCAATTTGCAGAATTTTGGGGAAGTGTCAAAATTGATGTTCACGCATAGCCTATATATTAATTCTTCATGAATAATTATTCTCCATTGGTGAAATGTTAATGAACATTTTACACGAATATTCAGGTATTGTTCAATGCCATTTTGCAGGGATTAATTATCTATATTGCAATGTTTTCTGTGACACAGTTGGTCACTTCAAGTGACTACATTCTGAACTTGCAAGGTGTTACATTTCCAGAGGTTTATCACTTAGAAGGTTTTACTGGATTATAAAAACCATTTGATAGAAGACATAAGATGATGTTTTGCCTGAATAATTGCCTCGATATTTATGCAATAGTGTTAATCTTGTGTTTTGTTTATATTTATAGGCAGATCTGTTACTATTGAAGGTATTAAGCATACCTGAAACAACCTGAAGATGCAATATAGAAAAGAAAAGGAAAAAGTGGGGAAGAGCAGTAAGAGTGGGGCAGGGACTTCTGACAAAAGGTTTCTTGCTCTATATTTCAGTTTGAGAATCCGGATGATGGATGAGGACTGATTATATATTTTTGGTTTGTATTCATGATTAACCTACACAATGTATCGACTTCAATTTTGCGGCAGAGAAAACATATTACCTTAGTTAATACTTATCTCTGACAACTTGTGGTACACTTCAGTGATATTAGCAGAAAAAATGATTTAGTTTTGTACATTTAAGGACCATATTGTTCTGCATTTTGATGCAATATTTCTTGTGGCAATTTGAGTTGGGTCTTTTTTACTTCACTCAAAAAGTAGACGGATATAAGAGTTCTGAAGGGATACCAATCCCTGGAAACCCATTAACATTGTGGGAAGTCAATGAAAATAACTTTCCTCACATTGCAGCATTGGCTCAAACTAGAATGAATGTGATAGGTCCATCAGTCCCTAGCAGAACTGTTTTCAACAGCAGGGGATATAGCAAGGCTTAAAGTTTTCCGGATTTTCCGGCTAGTTCCGGTACTTTCAGACCGAAATTTGACCCCCGTGAGATCAGTGCAAATCCGGGTTGATATCAGAGGGGGGTATGGGTTGACCTGAAGCCCAAATAAGTTGAAGACTTGAGGAAAAAAATCATTTAATTGCGGGCCCCAAAACAGCTGATCAGCTGATTCACGTGTGATTTGTTATTTAATAAATAGGTCAGGTTCATAAATTATGTGGCTGTTCATGTTTATTTTGTCACTCCCGTTGTAATTATGTTGGATAAGTATTGAATAATAAGGGAGTATGTATTCTGAAAAGAAGAGCACGTGATTTGCATGTGGTCTACGGAAATTTCCAAATATAGACTTCGTGTTGTTACGTCCTGACTTCGGTCGTTCACGATCATTGATCGGCAATTCCCGTACATTATCGGCTCATTTAGTTCAAAATGGCGACTATCGAAGAGGGAATGGCTCTCCCATGCGAAAATGGAGTCAAAAATAAGTTCCTTTGGAAATGGTTAGATGAAAAAGGAGATGAAGATGTAATTAATCGATTGTGGCTCCGAAAAGTTGACGAGCCGGGTGTGTGCTTATGCACAGTTTGTGGAAAGAAAATGAAATATGGGACATCGGGGAAAAAAATCTTGTATCAACATAGTAAAGATAAACACCACAAACAAAAATTGAGAGGTAATTTTAGTTTTATTATGTTAGAATTATATCGGAGTTAATTATATTTCATTAACAGGACTAATAAATCTCATCTACCGATAAATATTTGTCATATAAATAATGTCAATCAAACGTCTCATTAGGCTCAGACATGACATCTATATGCTAGTCTACTCGAGATGTAGAATCTAGGCCTAATCTAGAAAACATATTACCTTAGTTAATACTTATCTCTGACAACTTGTGGTACACTTCAGTGATATTAGCAGAAAAAATGATTTAGTTTTGTACATTTAAGGACCATATTGTTCTGCATTTTGATGCAATATTTCTTGTGGCAATTTGAGTTGGGTCTTTTTTACTTCACTCAAAAAGTAGACGGATATAAGAGTTCTGAAGGGATACCAATCCCTGGAAACCCATTAACATTGTGGGAAGTCAATGATAATAACTTTCCTCACATTGCAGCATTGGCTCAAACTAGAATGAATGTGATAGGTCCATCAGTCCCTAGCAGAACTGTTTTCAACAGCAGGGGATATAGCAAGGCTTAAAGTTTTCAGGCTAGTTCCGGCACTTTTAGACCGAAATTTGACCCCCGTGATATCAGTGCAAATCCGGGTTGATATCAGAGGGGGGTATGGGTTGATCTGAAGCCCAAATAAGTTGAAGACTTGAGGAAAAAATCGTTTAATTGCGGGCCCCAAAACAGCTGATCAGCTGATTCACGTGTGATTTGTTATTTAATAAATAGGTCAGGTTCATAAATTATGTGGCTGTTCATGTTTATTTTGTCACTCCCGTTGTAATTATGTTGGATAAGTATTGAATAATAAGGGAGTATGTATTCTGAAAAGAAGAGCACGTGATTTGCATGTGGTCTACGGAAATTTCCAAATATAGACTTCGTGTTGTTACGTCCTGACTTCGGTCGTTCACGATCATTGATCGGCAATTCCCGTACATTATCGGCTCATTTAGTTCAAAATGGCGACTATCGAAGAGGGAATGGCTCTCCCTTGCGAAAATGGAGTCAAAAATAAGTTCCTTTGGAAATGGTTAGATGAAAAAGGAGATGAAGATGTAATTCATCGATTGTGGCTCCGAAAAGTTGATGAGCCGGGTGTGTGCTTATGCACAGTTTGTGGAAAGAAAATGAAATATGGGACATCGGGGAAAAAAATCTTGTATCAACATAGTAAAGATAAACACCACAAACAAAAATTGAGAGGTAATTTTAGTTTTATTATGTTAGAATTATATCGGAGTTAATTATATTTCATTAACAGGACTAATAAATCTCATCTACCGATAAATATTTGTCATATAAATAATGTCAATCAAACGTCTCATTAGGCTCAGACATGACATCTATATGCTAGTCTACTCGAGATGTAGAATCTAGGCCTAATCTAGGCTTGTCTGATGTGCAGCAATCAATAGACACTTCTAGGGCTGCAATGTAAAGTATATTCAGCTTACAGTTACAGTACACATAACTGTTTTGGCACTCTCCAGATTATTATAACAAAATTTTGTATGTGTATTTCAGAGATCAATATAGTGGCCCCACTCCCTGGATTCAGTCTCCCTGTCCATGGGACTCCCACACCACGACTGTCTGATGGAAATACGCTAAAACCTAACAGTCTAGACCGTATTGCTGATGTGAAAATTAAGACAGTCTCCTTTATATCGGAACATGATTTGCCCTTCACGATTGCCCCAGATCTTATTAAATATGCACAGAATTTGGCAGGGGATAAACCTGCATTAAATAAATGTACTCTTAGCAATGTGCTGCATCTTATATAGCTACACATGGTATAACAGAAGCAATCAAGTCAGAATTCAAATCCATGGGAAAAAACAAAGTGTTTCTCAGTATAAATGCTGATGAAGCAACTAACAACTCTAACTGCAAGGTGTTAAATATATTAAAGTTTAAATTTATATATACAAAAGGACAATATTACCCACCTTATTACTAGTATAATTGGAACATTTGGGGTTATCAAATTAAAAAAATACAAAAATGCAATAAACAGATGTAAAAAAATGTGAACATTTTATTCAATGTACTTTCACCAGAAGGCTCTAGAAGCCACCAGAGGGCACCAATTTTCACTGAAATCATTTTTTGATATGTTAATGATAACGTGTTAGTTTTGTTGATGTTTGTTTAGCAATAAACTTGCTGAAAAAATGACTGTTAATGTCCCATAATTCTTATTACCCAAATGCGAGTAGGTAGTTACCAGTTTCACCACCAGGTGGCTGATTCGGGTCAATTAACATGGCAGGTATATAAGAAAGTTCCCTTAAACTTGAATATTATCAATTTAAGTGGCTCAATTTTCATATAACCCTTATGTGCCTGATACTTAGACTAATGAAAATATGTCCAGTAAAGCAAAATATTATCTGTCCACTAAAAGAAAAGATATTTCATTTTTTGTGATTTTATAGCATGGGGTCTATGGCAAATCTCCCCGAGCTAGAAGTCACATTTTCAAAGAAAATTTATTTTTCAAAGTTGATAAACACTTTTTAAAACCACATTTCTAGATGTAATTTTACATGTAGATTTCAAATATGATATTACTTTGACTGAATTTTGAATTTTTAATGACATAAATCAAGATTATTTCTACTCGCATCTGGGTTATTGTTCCAGTTGATACAATATGAAGGGTAAGTATGAATTAAAACAATACTTTTAGGGTTTTTTAATGATTTTTGATGTGTTCAGTTCCGCCCCGAAAGTACCATGTCCCAAGACCATTTATACCGTTCTGTAACGGTTCCGAAATATGTTTGTACCATGACAGCTTTAATAAATACTCAGGGTTGCTGCACATTGCAAGGCGTACACTTATTCCAATTGAAATCAATGCACTGAAATAAGGGGCAACTTTTAATAGTCTAGGTTGCTGAACACTTCAAGGTGTACACTAATTAGAATTAAAATGTGTCAAAATAAGCATCAACTTAGATTACAATATCTTTATTTATCTATCTACAGTTAAGAAAGAGCAGCTGGAGATTGATTTTGAAGATGATGTGACCAGTGACGAGTTGCTCAATGGTCCTCCAAGCAGTGCTGAAAATCCCCCAAGGGTCAGATGATAAGTGCAACAAAGGGAAAAATTGATTAACTTAATCTTTATATTTTGTATCTACTAAACTAAGTCTACTGATAATACTGTTTTTTTTACTGGCATACCCAACCAGACTATGATTTCTGACAATCCCACTTAACATGACAATGAGGAAGAATGATGGTATGACTCAGGAACATCCCTACTGACAATAATTTCTGATGATGGATTAAGCTGACAGTTTAGTGTACACCAACAAGCTTGTAATGCTATTTAGCTTAGTTAGAAAGCCGTATGTCATTCTGAAAGCAGAGGGCATTTTTGAAAAAAGTCAAAAATAATGTGATGTGATAATACAAATATCCTGCAAGTTGTGTAGGCTTACACCATGGAAGTAATCATTCCTTGGACTGGGTTCGATTCCCAAACAACTTGATATAGTACTCACACTTCACTTTATTCTGGCTTTTTATATAGCATACCCATAGTTTCATCTACATAGTTTAATTAAAGAACTGTTAAATTGAGCTGTAATTACACAATTCACTTCTTTAATGAAAAGGAAAGGAACCATGTTATTTTCATAGATTTTAAATATTTTGCTTTATAAAGCAGTTCAGAAAGTTTTGACAGCTTTTGGTAGGGTTTTCACCATTTTTAGCCTTTTCCCTTTTCATCTTGTGAAAAGTTCACAAATTGGCATATTCATAGCACTGTTGGCACGACTCTATTTTTGTTTCTTGTAATTTTTTTTCACAGAACGGATTTACTTGTTACGAAAGCCCTTTATTTCTAAAGGACCAAGGGGTAATGTGACAGTCAAAGTCAAACATTTCTTTGGTAGAGCCATGTATCATTTCTTTACTAGTTTATTTATTTTATTTTTTAACTGAACAATGTACTGACTTTTTTAAGTTCATACTCCAGTTTATTTATACACTGAAAAATAAAGTTTTGTTATTTAAAAATGAATATACTGAATTTTGCACTTAAAAAGGTCAGCTTATTTTTCAGTACATATGTGTATGTACTGAAAATGCCCCTTTCAGTACAAATGCCCTCACTTAGTGAATGGTACAGTAATATTTAAAACATAATATATTCTTCTTTTCAACCTAATGAAACAATTAACATTGGTTTATTTTTGAAGCTTAGCATATTTATATTTTTCTAAAATCTCTAAAATAATTTTTAAAGTCATGAATGATATGAATAAGGAAATGAATGATAAAAGTATATTTTCAAACATTGTATGGGGGCTTTAACTATGATGGGTGTGACATGAACAAGAGTTGTTTTGAAGTATCTTATGGATATATACAAACCACAGTTAGTGATATAAGCTCAAAGTTTTTCATGAAAGTCATGAAAACTGTGTAATAATTTACATTAACTGCCATTTAATGTCACAAACATTGTCAGAAATAAAGCCATTTTTAGACAGAATGTTATTTTTGGTACTGACTTCTATGTTACAAAAATAGTAATATCCTAAAAAACATTAAAATTGAGCGATAATATTCAAAATTGAACACTCAAATTGAATGAGCCATAATTGTCATATTTGATTGCTGCGTGAGCACTTTAATGCATACACCCCTGCTAAAGTACTAAAACTGGCTAATGCAGAAATATAAACACTTTTGTAAGCATCAAAATTTCTGGCAAACACTGCAATAAGCATTGATGAATTATGTATCAATTATTTATTCATATTTTAATGATTGCTTTTACAGGATGAGAGTTTAACAGGAGAGAGCTTCGCAAGTGGAAGAGACAATATTGATGATATTGAAAATGAAACAGCCGATGAGGTTGCTCCGGCAATACAGGTACCATAAAAACATAGAGAAAAACAACCTCAGAGTTAAATGAAACATTCCTCAAGGATTGCAAGTAAGCAATTGACAAACTTTGCGCTCCAGAGAAGCAAGATATGAATGACTCTTGGAAAATATGTTGCTGCCGCACTGAGGCTTATGCCAAACCAAGAAGCGAATAGAGTTAAAAATGAAATACAAAATTCCATTTTTCAGGCACAGTGTGAGCTTTCCTGCCCAGTGCCAGTGCAACAAAATACCTTTGAGCAGCAGGGTTTGACACTGGCCACACTACAATCATATCAATAAACTACACTACACTACAAGTCCAACTTGAATTTTTTAAAGATGAAAGAGCAGACTATAGTATTAGGAAGGGTATTACCTGCTCAAAAAGTTTGACAACATACAGGGTGGTCAAAAGAAATGGAAACCCTGCATTTTCAAGAAATTCAAGATAGCATGTAAAAAGATCCCATACTGTCGTGAAGCAAGAACTTAATGGCGTTTGTACCAAAAATTGGGAAGCAATTTTGCAAGTCATTTCTCAGCAATAGATGAGCCAAAATCTTTGAAAACTTCACTTGAGGCACTTTAGGGTATCTTCTGCTAGTGCTATCAATATGCAAGAGATTGTCTCATATCATGTGTGTATTTTTTAATTAAAGACAGTATGTCAAAATAATCAATATCAATGTAATAGTCACTTATTAATCTATAATATAAAGGCAAAGAAATCAATGTAAAACTTGCAATATTCCTTTCTTCGACATCTTAAACATGACTATGTTCAATGGCCTACATGGTTGTTGTTTGTGTATGGACACTAGATAGAGAGTGAAAAAGGGGAAAGGGCATACAAGGTGCTACCCTTATTATAATAAAAATGCTAAAGATCGTAACAAGTTTTATGAACCACGAACTGTTTAGGAAATGCGAAGAGATATGTCCAATGCAACAACAGCAAACAAAATAAATGGAATGAAAGGAGAGAGTGGTATTCTTCATCTAGATGGCTTTAATTTAGCCAATGGATGTGTTTCTGACTACATGCATGGTATTTTTCTAAGAGCTGTTTACAAACTCCTGGATTTATGGTTTTCATTGTCATCTACAAATGAAAGGTGTTTCAAAGGAAAACATATCAAAGAAGTGGCAAGACGTGTTGGAGAAATGGCAGCACCTTATTTTATTGAGCATCTTCCACACAGAGATTTTGATACACAGTATACACATTTAAAAGCTACAGAACTTCAAGCTTTGATGTTATATTATGCCACCCCCTGCCTTGCTCGGATTCTTCCCAAAGAGTACCTTTCTCACTTTGAACTGTTGAGTCAGTGTGTATTTTTGCTTCTGGGAGACAATGTCACTCAGAACTCGTACAACTAAAAGGTTATATGAGGTTTCTCATTTTGAAGAGTTATACCCCTGGGTCCATCTGTGCACATTGAAAACTGTTATTTTGAATTTTATACCTGTTTGAAAATTAAGGATTGTGAGTCTCATACTGCACCAACTTCAATTAAAATCACAGTTCAGTGAAGATCAGTCTTACATACATGTAATCAAGATAAAACCCTTGTAATAACTAATAGTCCAGATTCAAGTAGAAATAATCTTTATTTACGTCATTAAAAATTCAGAATTCAGTCAAAGTATAATATCATAGTACATCATACATACATTTGTTTCAAAATGGTGGCCATTTTAGGGCCGAATTGAAATTTTACATGTCAGTGCCTACTTGGATAGTCAGTGACCATTTTTAAACTACGCGCCATCCACTAGGTGCGCTATTTCAATATACACTGGCATAAATATAGTATGACGTCAATCCCCTCATATATAATATATGACGTCATATAATATATATTTGACATCACATAATATATATTTATAGCGCGAGACATCTATCGGTGAGCTCAGGAATGCATGAACCAATCTGACGTGGCACAGAAAGTCACCACTTCACTATGACTATGGATAATGAAATAGAATTTGTTCCATCAACCGGGGGAGGTGAAAGCCTAATAGTTGACCAGCAATACAAATTCCGCTTTCATAAACATCAAGGCGAAAGTGAGTACTCATGGTTAAATGGTTCTATTGATAGCCTCCCTAAAGGCCCTCAGGGGAGACCAGTGCATCTTGAAAGCAGGCTTGATGCCGAGGCTTGGGCTTTGCTTGCTGGAGAGTTACATGTATAATATTTTTGTGTCTTTAATCCGCAATTTCCAGCGTTTTGTAAACACATACAAATTAATAAAAATCCAGTGTTAACATTTATTGTAGTGTTGGCTGCTAATGGTTCCATTATAAATACTCATATAGCAGTTGGTGCCATACATGGTTTGATTATGCACGAGGACGAAACTCTTCTACAATAATATGATGGATTGATATCTGTCACTAAATCCTTGGCCAAATCTAGCCTTGAACGCATGGATGCCACCTCCACACAAAAGTGAAGCAGAGGATTCCATCAATAGTAAGAGATTCAATATTGCAAGTTTTCTCTTTTATCTGTAAGACTGATATTTTGGTTTGCTACCATCTCAACTTCATCTCAAATTACTATCGGGGTCATTACAGGATCTTGACAAATGCTGCCACATGACACCTTGGGATTGTATAAGCATTGTGCCAGAGAGTAGTAATATATAAAGCATATGTTGTAACTGTTACTTCAAAGGTGATATCAAGAAAGTATCTTGGAATTCATAAGATTTATCATAAAAGTTGAAATATGAAATGCAGGTACCCCTGATGACACAGAAGAGACCCAAAACTAATTCTCCTTCTGTTGTACAAGATGTCCATCCAACCCGGTCTTAAAGGCCACAAAAACCACCCAAGTGGTTAAAAGATTATGATTTAGAATAATCGCCAAATTTTTAACACATTGCTTGTTTTGCTTCTTTTCAGGATGGTGGTCTGCGCCAAATACAGAACAAAAGGTCTCGTTTGTGAGGCAGAATTTCCAACAAAGGAGGAACTTGAGGAACATGACATGAATCAACACCAATATGTGTATTGTCAGTTCAAGTACTGCAGATTTATGCTGAAAGTATGCACCACAAAGACACGCCAACGGATGGACTGACATGAGCACAATCATGCTGAAAAGGAGAAAACATTTCCAAATGAAATCCAATCACCTTTGGTAACTCTGAAAAAGATGCCAAAACCATTGATGGCTATGACCAGTCCACCTCATATCTCTGGCTCCACAACATCAGTGTCCCAGAATTTCTCCTCTGTGTCCCCTTGGACAAATAGCACCCTCCCCATTATTGGACTCTGATCAAGAAACAGAAATCTACGAACATGATCAGATGAGTTTAGGTGAACTCAGAGGTAGAATTACGGCCATCCGAGCCAAAAGTTCAACGACCTACAAGAGGAAACTAAGAGAGTCATTATCATCTGACTGGGACACTGACTCGGACACTGATACTGAAAAGAAAGGGGAGCAGGTGGAGTCACGCAACACTTCACCTGTGTGATCCCCTAGATCAGATACTGAATCATCTAAATTGGACAATGCATCGTCAACTCCTGCCACAAAACAGCCGTCAAGAGTACCATCAGTAGCTGAAAACGTGCAGGAAGATATAGCACAGTCATCTCCTGAAATCCTGAGACCTGATTCACCGAATATGGACATTGTGATACAATCAAAACCGCTTGATTTATCTATAAAACAACCAGCGCCGATCAAGAAAACCAAAGTCAGTTTAAAACAACCGTTCCACTGTGGAAAGTCTATCCAATATATAACAATTAACAATGGCAAGTGACTTTATTATGTATTTGAGCTCCTGGTTCTTCCAAGAAAACCATAGGGGCCATGTATATTGTTTATTGACATTCTATTCAAACCATTTACTGATTATTAACTAAAGCAGGAAGAAAAAACAGTACACATATATATAATCAAGTGATAAACACTGATGTCAGACAGGAGCAGCTGGACACAGCGATGTCCCCAACTGTAGTGTTTGTTAAATCAGCACTTTTGCTGATGGACATTTTTATATTTTTATATTAGTACATTTTACCATAAGCTGGTGCTCATTTTATAGTCCTCATTCCTGTTCGAGGGTGAACATTTTTTCAAAAGGGGGGATAGTGTGACGACTGTCTAGCAATAGTTCTAGATAGTGTCATTTTGTTCTAAGTACGCTAGACGGTGTCACATTGTCTTACCTTGCTTCCGCCATAAGTGGTGACTGAGTAACTTTCTGTAAATATGGTGAAATTTAACTTTATTTGGAGATTTTACTTCTTCCCGAAATTATTTTTATGTTTAGATGAGCTTCCGGTTCACAGCCTCGTTTTCGATCAAGTAAGCATCATTCTTTTACATAGTTTTTACCACTTTTGCATCATATTTTGCTGCTGATATATGTTTATATAGATCGTAAACAAATGTCTAGATAGACATGGTAAGTTCATATTTAAGAAGTTTTATGTACTTTTGCTGTAAATCGACAGTTTCAAAGTCACGTGATATTTTTGCCAATCAGAGGCCTTCTCTATCATATTCAAATAACATCTTTGTCAACATTCGCGAACAACACAGGACGGATAGGTATGCTCTTAACATTTGGTTGATTTGTATGCTTCCTGATTACTTTCCCGGTGTAAGATATAGTTTTACTTTATTGTCAAACTAACATTAGACCCAGGGATCGTACGCATTCAGCCAATTACACTATTTGAAGTGAGATATCACATTTTGGAAACGGCCGATTCACACTTGTTGAATTTTCCATTTATCACATATTAACCATGAGTGAATATGGCAAAAAATAAAAAATAATAGAATTTATGTAAGTTTGATGGGGGATATAACTTTGAATTCTTATGAAATAATTATGATTACTAATGTAAGGTGTGAAAAATAAAATTAAATTCAAACTAATACGCTCAATGTTCAATGATGGCTCGAAATTATGATGTTATGACTAAACCAACCTGTCACTTTTCAGGACTTCAAGGCATTCTGTTTGGATGATATGTCAGTACACATGAATATATTGTATGGAGGAGATGCCTTTGGGCCACATGCCACCACAGAGGGAGACATTAAGAAGGGTAAGAGGAATGCTGCCTATAGACTATTCATTCTCTGGAGGCATGGAACACTGAAAAACCCAAAACCAAGTGACTTTGAAAAGGGTTCTGCATCATGGGGGACCTTTTTAGCCAACAATGAAATATGTCTGAACTGGAATGTGATTTTACCATATCCCTTTGGCCAAGATTTCACTAAGATGGTCACAATAGCAATATATTAAATTCTAAGATGCAATTAGGCATATGAAATTAACTGAATTATTTATGAGCTGCAGTATAATATATAAACTGGAAGGACATTACAATCCAAGACCACTTTTGATAACACAGCGCTTCAGGTTTCACAAACGTGAGCAAGGCTCACGAGAATCCATAATGGATTATTTTGCTAGTAAACATTTGGCGGATAAAACTAAGTTCGGAACTTTTCTTGAAGAAGCACTTCGTGATCATTTTGTTTGCGGCATAAGTGAGAGATCCACACAAAATATGTTACTTACCAAAAAAGACTTAACATTTAAACCTGCAGTTGAATTGGCTTTAGGCCTTGAACCAGCCAAAAAAGATATTGCAGAATTTCGTGACACAAAAGAGACTAATCCGTCAATTAGTGTACACAAAGTTGAGCCAATCAACGATAAAAATCAGTTTCAAAGAAATGCTTACGCTGTAATGGACGTAAACATTCCCCAGAGAAATGCTACTATAAAATTGCAACGTGCCATAAATGCCACCACAGGGAAACCGCTTGACACCATAGGAATCGCCAATATGGTGGTAACATATAATGGCAAGTCAGCGAGTCTTCCCCTGTATATTGTAAATCATATGGCAGCCCCCTTATTTGGGAGAGATTGGATGGAAAAGCTTTTTAGAAAGGATAAATGGGAAAATCAAGTGAAAATTTTCAGTGCATCTAATGCGGAAATCCATGATAAAGCCCCAAAGCCCAGTGTATCTACCCAAACTCCCCATACTGAGTCCCCCACATTAAAAACCCTCCTCAAAACACATGATAATCTATTTAAGGATGTATGAAAGGTGTGAAGGCTAATATCCGTGTTGAATCCAGATCCATACCTATATCTCTCAAACATAGATATTTAGCATATTGTCTCAAACCCAAAGTGGAAACAGAATTGGAGCGTATTCAAAAGCATGGGATTATAAGCCCAATTACCAAATCAGCATAGGCCACACCGATAGTGCCCATACCAATGAAGGACAATACCGTGCGTATATGTCAAGTGACATTGAACAAGTGTTTGGATATGAGTATCAAATGCCTACTATTCAAGATATCTATGCATCATTAGCTGGTGGTACTCAATTCTCCAAGATAGACTTATCTCTTGAGTTTTATATCCATGCTAACAATAATAGGTATACTGTTAATAACTCTGACAAAATGTATGAAATATTCTGTCAACTGCTCTGTATTGGAGATTATATTGCTATTTATCCTATGCCAAGTAGAGTTTTAGGGAGATAAGTTGGTAAGATATATCCCGTATCCTGATTTTGAGGTTTCAATATCCAGAACCTCCATATCTCCCGCCATATCTCCCGCTTCGTTGCATATCTTCCAGGCCCGTCAGATGGGGGGGTGCGTTGGGTGCGGTCGCACCCCCCTTCAAAATCTCCCAAAAATTCCCGGGGACTACAATTTTGATCTTTTGATTGACTCTATTGTTTTAGTTTCGTACAGTGTATAATGTTCGGTGATTTCCGCAACGTTCGTGTGTTTCCGTATAAGAAAATCTGATTTTTTTTCGTGCAGTGCACAGTTTCCGTTCATTTCCGCTGCCTTCGGGAGTTTCCGGAGAAAGAAGAACGTGCCATTGATGAATGAGTTTTAAATTAAAATCACCGCAGATTTCGACGATTTCAGAGAAAAGAGGAGGAATCGAGCGATATTTCAAATGTAAGTACATTCTGTTATATCTAGAGCACCTGGTTTGTTAGTGTAGTGGCTTCGCACGATTGAAATCAACTGAAAATTTTGTAAAATAGTTGAATTTGTTTCTAGAAAATCAAACTCAACAAATTAAAATTGGAATTGAAAATAGATTTCTTAAATTCGAAGCATAGAGTCAACCCGAGTAGCTCGATCTTCATAGTCTGAAATGTATATTCAAAATTTTGACTTGATACCAAGACAGTTTTTAGGCCTAGGGCACTGCCTGCCGCAGGCAAGTGGGCTTACATGGCATGACTCCATGATTTTTGAACCTCGACATATGGGGTTAATTCATCATTGGGCCGGGGGTATTTCACACTGGATTATTATATTTCCGATGCATGAAGTCCACCGTGTTTGAACGGGTGAGATCTTAATCTAAAACGGCTGACCCCGGCAATACCAGATTTTCTCGCATATACGCCCCCCTAAATTTAGGCCCATGGGCCATGTGTTACTTTGTTTCAACATTAAGTTCAACGCTGTGCCATAAGTGGCAGTGGTGGATCGTTCTGTTGTTACTTTGTTTCAACATTAAGTCCAAGGTTGTAGGTGACATTTCCTTTATAATTCTTACAAAACATGCGGTAAGGACTACAACAGTAGGTACGGTAGTCTTTGAGGTCTTCTCACCTTTACGCCCATTGGGCCAAAAATCGAAAGTAGTACACTTATACGCCCATGGGCGAAAAATAAGAGGTAAAATAACAGACGAAATTACCCCTTCTTTCAGTTATACGCCCAGGGCTTATATGCGAGAAAATCCAAAGTAACCCAATATCAAAGTTCAACGTATCTTCCCTAGGCTTCTAAACCAATCATGATTCTTGGTATTATGTTTGTCGATTACTTCAATAAAAAATTTCGAAAATGGTTCTTAAAATACTGGAACCTGAGAAAACAGTTCTGAAAGTAAAGTCCATTTGTTTCATAAGGGTGATTTTCGTTCATTGTTGGCGATCTCCCAAGATTCTACATTATTATACATAAATTTAAGCATATGATACTTTCTTTGCACAGTCTAAATTGCTGCACACATATTAACTCTTCATAAAGCACATGGTTTAGTAACAGCTATAAATCATACACTGTAGAATAGTTTAGTAAACCACTATGTATTTTCAGGAATGAACAAAGTGAATAGGTAACATGGATGGAAATATTTTTATTTTATATATTAAAACAAAATTGGGTAGATTGGGAATTACTGATTAAATTGAAACAATACCTATGTTCGAGTCAAACTTGCAGGTCAGCTCTACTGTAAGGGGTATGCATAGGTAATAGAGTAAATGCAGTTCCCTTTGTAGATCACATCCTCTCTGAACTCAACCTCCAGTTCACTGGTATGTAACATGGATTTAATATAAGATGGCATATTTTCTCTGTTAAGTTTTTAAACAGACTCAGAAAAATGAATACCCCCCCCCCAGTTGCTATATGACGGCCCTGCCTATTCCCCAACCAAATATCCTTTCCTAGTATCCCACACATCATTTTTGGAATTTGTTATAGATCACCTAGTCAATCTGCAGATGGAACTCAAATTTGCTTTAATAAATTACATCAGCAACTTGATATCATTAAAAATGACGCAAATAAATATGATCAGGTCTTACTCATGGGTGATGTCAATGCAAAAAATCCAGCTTGATTCCAGAATGATGAAAATATTGCTGGTGAACTACCATTAGAT